CCATGCTGTGGCGGCGTCCCATATACAGTGGAGGAAAGACGGGCACAGATGTTAGCCCAGGGCCAGTCTTCCTCAGCAAAAAAAGAGGAGGATTGGCGGATGTTAGCACAGGGCTGATCTCCTCACAAAAAAAAAAAAAAACTACCAAGACTCTGAAACTACCAAGTGTATAAGAAATACACTTTGAAAAAACCATATCTGTAGACCCACAGGGGAAATTCTGAATATATTTTCTAGTAATAAAACGGAGTTGTAAGATAATAGCATCCTTCAGTTACAGCTACAGCAAGAAAGGGGTGGGAAATTGAGCAGAGAAAAACTGCCAAGATTGTACCCTGATCCAAAACTCGCCAGCGGATGGGTTTAGCTTGGCACTGGGCTGGTCTGGACAAGTGCTGTGGGTAGCTCCCAGAATGCCCATCTGCAGGCTGAGAGGTCCCGAGTATCCCCAGGATAACAAGATTATGCTGATCACCAATAATTACTGCACACTTAAGCAAGCTTCGCTTTTCTTTTTTCTTCTCCTCTTTTTTTTTTTTCTTTCTCTTCTCTTTTCTTTTCAAACCCTGGCCTAGGGCAGAGTTGCCAGGAGCTACAACTGTGCTTGATATAGTGGCTGACATAATGCACTGCTCTTGGACCTCCCAGAGGCTATACCTCAACATCAACTGTTGAATTTTTAAAAAATACTCATGCCCAGGCCCCCTCTTTAAAGATTCTTAACTGAGTCCATAGTGGGGCATGGGCCTCTGAACTTTTTAATCTCCTCAAATAACTCTCATATGTGCTATGGTGTTGAGAATCAGCCCTCTTCGTGGTGGGAACGGTGGTAGTGTCAGGAAGACAGAGATCCAGCCCTAACATATCCCAGATGTGTATGCCCTGTCCTCGCCCGCATAGATTGCACCAGCTGCCTGTTGATGCCACAACACTGACAGCTTGGCCCCCTTTCCTCATCCACGTGGTCCTCTGCACACTTGTCTGTCCCCACTGTCCACTCTTGTCTTCCTTTTGGGCCACCAAGGAATTAAATCAGCTGTAGACCCTGGAAAAGTCTCTCCATCTTTCTCTGCAGAGCTTTCCTTGCCGTAAATTGCAAATTGGGCTAACTCGTTGGATAAATGAGCAAGTAACTGGTAGCCCATTGGGTAGATTTCATGTTTTTCCAACAATAGCAGGACGAACAGGGACCACATGCTGCTAACCACCATCTTTCCCTCCTTTCCTGAATCCTGTTAACATCATATGTGAAAACATTAATTTAAAAACCCATTCTTTTCAGTTCTACTTAGTAATCAAGCATTAATATTCTTGCCTCCTAGGTTTAAAAAAAAAAGATTGAGATTATACAATGTTTCCCAGATATACTTCCATGTGCACATGATTATATCCAAACCTAACTCACTCTCCCTTGGATACACAGTAACACTCCAACTAGGAAAGGCTCACATTCCCATGTCTTTTTACAGTGAAACTAATTTATAAGCTCTGGTAGGTTTTCTGTCTAATTAACTTAAAGTGTACATTTTTGATATAATGGTTTATTCTTGAAGAGATGGTAGCACTTTTTAGAAAACAGTTTCTGGAGGCCGGCCCCGTGGCTTAGCGGGTAACTGCACGCGCTCCGCTACTGGTGGCCCGGGTTTGGATCCCACGCGCACACCGATGCACCGCTTCTCTGGCCATGCTGAGGCCGCGTCCCACATACAGCAACTAGAAGGATGTGCAGCTATGACATACAACTACCTACTGGGGCTTTGGGGAAAAAAAGGAGGAGGATTGGCAACAGATGTTAGCTCAGAGCCGGTCTTCCTCAGCAAAAAGAGGAGGATTAGCATGGATGTTAGCTCAGGGCTGATCTTCCTCACAAAAAAGAAAAAAAGGAAACCAGTTTCTGGTATGCTGTTTTAGGAAACAGTTTTGGTAAGGTAATTTGTTACACATTTATTCTTTTATGCAAACTTCAGAATCATTCTGTTGAGTTATTTTAAAAAATAGAACCATAAAGGTTCTTATTAGAAATTCATATATAATATATATGGAAAATGTTTATATTTTTATGCTATTAAATATTTATATCCAGGAGCATGGAGTCTCTCTTTATTAAGGTCTTATTTTATATTCTTCAATAAAATGTTATAGTTATCTGCTTAAAGGTCTTGCACCTTTCTTGATAAATTCATTTCTGGATATATTTTTTAACAGCTTTAGTGAGGCATAATTTACCTTATAGAGCTATGCAACCATCCCCATAAATCAGCTTTAGGACTTGTCCACTACCCCAAAAAGTTCCCTCATGCCCTTTTGCAGCTTACTCCCACTCCAACCCCCAGCCCTGGGCAACCCCTGATCTTTTTGTCTTTATAGACTTGCCTTTTCTGGACATTTACTATAAATGACATCATACAATATGTAATCTTTTGTATCTGGCTTCTTTCAGTTAGCGGAATATTTTTCAGGTTCATCTGTGTTGTAGCATGTATCAGTAGCTTATTCCTTTTTATTGCTGAGTAGTATTTCATTGTATGGCTATACCACATTTTCTTTTTGCATTCATCAGTTAATAGATATTCAGATTGTTTGCAGTTTTGAGCTATTATTAATAAAGCTGCTATGAATATTCACATACAAATTTTGTGTGTACATGTGTTTTCATTTCTCTTGGGTAGATTCGTAGGAGTGAAATTGCTGGGTTGAACAATAAATTTATGTTTATCTTTTTAAGAAACTGCCAAACTCTTTTCCAAAATGACTGTACTGTTTTACATTTTTATAAGCAATGTATGAGGGTTCCAGTTACTCCGAATCATCCCAACATTTGGTATTGATGTCTTTTTGGTTATAGTCATTCTAGTGGGGCTGTATTGGTTATCTACAGCTACATAACAAATTGCCCCAAAATTTAGCTGCTTAAAATCAAACATTTACCATCTTACAGTTTCTGTGGGTCGGGAATCTAAGTGTGGTTAGCTAGGTCCTCTGGTTTAGGATTTCACATAAGGCTGCATTCAAGGTATTGCCTGGGGCTGTATTCATCTCGTGGCTTCACTGGGGGAGGATCTGCTTCCAAACTCACTCAGGTGGTTGTTAGTAGGATTCAGTTCCTTGTGGTCTGTTGGACCGAGGGCCTCAGTTCCTCCCTGGCTGTTGACTGAAGGCCTCTTTCAGTTCTTTGCCACATGGGCTTCACCAAAGGGCGCCTCACATGGCAGCTGGTTTCCATCAGAAAGAGCAAGACCACCAAAGCCAGTCTTTTTGTAACTGCATCTCAGAAATGACATCCCATTACTTAGAAGCTGTCTACCACATTCATTGTGGTTTTAATTTGCATTTCCCTAATGACTAATGACGTTGAATATCTTTTTCACATGTTTGTTAGCCATTCGTATATCCTCTGGTGAAATATCCACTCAAGTTTTTGCCCATTTTAAAAATTGGGTTGTTTTCCTTGTTATTCTTGAGTCATAAGATTTCTTTATATACTCTGTATACAAACTTTATTAGATATTTGATTTGCAAATTGTGTTCATTTTCTATTGCTTTGATAACAAATTACCACAAGCTTAGAGGTTTAAACAACACAAATTTATTGTCTTACAGATCACTAGGTCAGAAGTCTGGTAGGGGTCTAACTGGACTAAAATCCAAGTGTCAACAGCTGCCCTCCTTTCTGGAGGCTCTGGGGGAAAATCTGTTTCCTGCTCACTTGCGTTGTTGGCAGAATTTAGTACTTTGCATTGTAGGACCAAGGTCCCCATGTTCTTGCTGGTTGTAAACAGAGGGCTGTTTCTAGATTCTAGAGGCCACTGAATTCCTTGGTTGTTGGCCCCCTTCCTCCATCTTCAAAGCCACATCGTCACCAACAGGTCGAGTCTTTCCCATGTTGCATCTGTCTGACCCTTCTCATCAAATCTCTCTCACTACAGCCAGGAACAGTTCTCCTCTTTTAAGGACTCATGTGATTAGATTGGGCCCACCTGGATAATACAGAGTGCTCTCCACATCTCAAGGTCTTTAACCTTAATCATATATGTATAGTCCCTTTGCCATGTAAAGTAATATACTCAGAGGTTATGGGGATTAGGAAGTGGACATTTGGCAGGGGGGCAAGGTGGTATTATTCTGCCTACCATACAAATATTTTCTCCCAGTATATGGCTTATCATTTCATTTTCTTAATGGTGTTGTTTGAAGTACAAAAGTCTTTTATTTTGAAGACGTTCAATTTAGTGATTTTTTTTTCTATCATGGATAGAAAAAAATCATGCTAAGCACACTTTGGCTATCCCAAGGTCACAAAGATTTTTCCTATGTTTTCTTCTAGAAATTTTTATAGTTTTAGCTCTTCAATTTAGATTTATGATCCATTTTGAGTTAATTTTTATATATGGTGCTAGGTAAGGATCTAAATTCACTTTTTTTGCATGTGGAGATCCAGTTGTCTCAGCACCATTTGTTGAAAAAACTATCCTTTTTCTCATTGAAATGTTTTGGCACCTGTGTTGAAAATCAACTGGCCATAATTATAAGGATTTGTTTATTTATTGTCAATTGTTTTCCATTGATTTGTATGTCTATCCTTGTACCAATATCACACTCTCTTCTTTTCTACATATTTTAAAGTTTTTGTTACTATTAGGAATGAAGGTAAGATTATTTTGAATCTAAAATATTAACCCAGAACTTTTTCCTTAAACTCAGTGACAGATTAATATTTGATCTATTATAAAATTGTCTTGGCCTTGGAATAGAAGAAAAATGCAACTTTTATGCCTCAATTAGGTAACTTGAAATTGCTTTGAATCTATTAAATTCTATCTTATGAGACTAAGGTACAAAGACGTCAGAGATTTTGGTATTAGTGTTAATAGTAAATATCTTGATGAATAGTATTTAATTTTGTACTTTGAATTTGAACAGGTTATTATTATTATATACTCATATTCCCTTTGTGTAAGTAACATTTCCAAAGATCTGAGTTTCTTCTTTATTGCTTTCAGATCAGTCTCTAGAATCCCGTAGACTCTGCAACAAGCCAGTTGAGAGCTTGCCCCACATGGACACCATTTTCAGTGAAGCCGTTTTGAAGATGCGGAAACAACACCCTGGGCACATTTCTCAGGAGACTTGTGTCCGTGCAGTCCAGGCCGCTGTACAGTATCCCTATGAGGTGGGCATCAAGAAGGAGGAGGAGCTGTTTATGTACCTTCATAAATCAGGGCAGGCTAGAGCCCTGCAATACGCTTTCTTTGCTGAGAGGAATGCGATGAAGTGGTCAACTCCGTCTGGAGCATCCTGGAAAACAGCATCGGCACAGCCCATCTCCTCAGTTGGCGTACTCGGTAAGAACACGGGGTAGTCATTCTCAAAATCTGCACATATAAAGTGCTACCATTTGCTTAGGGCCACCAGGTGCCAGGCTGTCTGCTAAACATATTACTTCTGTTAGCTAACTTAATTTTCACCCCAGCCCATGAACTACCTTCATTTCACATGTGAGGCCTAGAGACGCTCACTTTCACAACAACGAACTAAACACAAGTGGTGTGAGGGTCTGACGCCAGGTCTGTCGGACTCCCGACTCCAGGCATCTTTTACACATCCCTACCTCTGCCCTGTATCAATCTCTCACTCCTGGATTTCCCAGCAATGATTATTATTTGTACCACAGTTCAATTGTGGCCTGTTGCTCTTGTAGCTAGGTATTTGGAATGAAAGCTCTGTCTTTCTGTCCTTGGATCCATTCACTTCTCCTTCTCGAAACCACTGTCCTCAATCCATCTGAACCCTGAGACAGTGGCTTCCCTATTTTTTCCCTGGGGAATGTTCCCAAACAAAACGTCTTCTTTCCTCGAAAGCTAGCTCTCTGGTTAGCTTCTTTGGGCCACTTTCCTAAGCTTTACTTGCTCTTAGTGTTGGCCCAAGAATGGTCTTTGGTGGATTTTAAACTCTGTGAAATGGTAAGCAAAATGTTATATGTGTCAGCTTATGTACAGTCTTCTGGGGGAGGAGGTCCACATTTTACTAAAAGCATCAACTTTCTTAACTCTCACCAGCTCTCTAGCACCAACCCAACTAGGAGGGAAAGAGCCCACTCTACGTCTTCTCAGTCTGCTTGTTGTCTCAGTCAAGTTTGGGTATAAAATAGTATGTCTTTAATACAAACACACTGTGCTCCTTCTAGTACTGACTGTTCACTTGTGATTTTTTAAGGAGGTGTGATGAAGAACTCTGAGTGTTCCTTTTTTGTACTCTTTCAGCAATGCCAATATTTGTTTCTAATTGTGTCCTTACCTGTTTCTTCTTCCCTATATTCATTCAAGCCAAGAATAATTAATGGACAATAATAGCAAAAGTTAAGTTTATCGGTATTATGTTTGTCAACCATTATTTGAGAGTTTCCCTATTTCCTTATTGTGAGCCTTTTATGAAGACTTCAGGTTTGTCTGGAATGGAATGTTTAAAAGTTTGAAGTTGTTTTTTATTTAAAGTATACCCCACATTGTTCTGAAAAATATTTAAAAAAACATTTAAAATATACAGAAGACAATATGGATAAAACGAAAGTGAGAGAGTTTGGTCATTTCCCCCTCCTTCATGTTTATCCCCATACTGCTCTGCACTTCGTCTTTGTGATGCAGTCTCCCACCGCACCCTATGCCCTCTGGAATGTTCCTACAGCCTCGTCTGCTTCACTAATGGCTTCCTGCTCTCTCCTGCCTGAAACCTGGCTTACCCTATGCACCTGCTTCTCCTGCAGCCCTCTCAAAAGGATGCTCCTGCTTCTCCCACACTCCACGGACCTCAGTGTCACTTCCCAATTCCTGTCTCAGACCATTATTCCTTTCAGGACACTCTCCTCTGTGATCCTGCCATGCTCTATCCCTCCTCATTACTATCATTGCTTCCCCTCATTTGCTGAAAATTTTGGTACCTGGCTCACAGTTACCCACGTTGGCCCAAATCCTGCTGCCATCTTGCTTGTCTTTATCATCTGTGTGGACAATTCATCAAGCCCTCTAGCTCCCGGGTTCCTTTACCTTCTCACTTCACTTCCACACTTACGGGCTCACCATAGGTCTTGTCTTCACCCTGAACATTTCTCCACCTCTCACATTTGAAACCTCACCTTTTCACCACAACCTTGTATCTTTCCATGTCTCTTAGTCACTTATCCCACCTACATCTATTACTTGATCAGCTCCCCCTTATCTTTACTTTCTTCTCTATTCAACTTTAATTTCTAAAGTCATCACTTCAGCCACTCTCTTGCCAATGTCCTCCAAAAGTGAAAAACTTGGTCCTTCAGCCCTTTGTCTGACAGTTTTAAATGCGTTCAAACCACAAGGTTGTGAGAAGAGAAGTTAGGAGCTAAGAACTTTTTGAAAGAAATATATATTGCGTTCATGTGCGTTTTTACTGCAGTGATTAAATGGAAAGTGTGAGTTTATAGAATTAAACTAAAGAAGATCTAAAATTATAGCTAGGACACTTCTAAAAAGCACTGATCTGCTCCACCTTGTGATTTGGATTATGAGTTGATTTGTGGCCCCAGCGATCCTTCAGCAGACCTGCTCTGAGAGGCGAGCACTGAAGAACCATACCCCACCTTCATGAGGTGACATTCCTTCCCTGGTCTGTGTTCATTCTGAGATAACACCTACATTACTTCACAGTTTACAAATCACTTTCACCTAACTTCTCATTAGTCCTTATTGTCCCCGTGAGATCATGATTTCTACAATGTTAGAAATTTTATACTAAGCTCGGGCCTGAAAGCTAGGAGGCCAGGGTTTTGAACCCCACTCTCTACCTCCTATTTGCCCAGGCTAGTGTTTAGGATACAAGTTGCTATTGCAGTGAGAGTTATCCAGCCTTCTTGTTACTGAGTGAAATGCAGATGTTTAGTAAATTTGGAAAACTAAATATTTTAAATAATTTAATATATTTATTTATATTATATATAATATTAAATAATTTAATAAAATTTGAAAGTTAAATAAATATATTCTAGAGAAACTAAATCAATGATTTTTGATGATTGATACCATTCTATATTCAAAATCAATCCCCAAAGCTAGTCAATATGAAGTATTAAAAGAGTAATATGTAAATGGCTTTTACAAAGCTGTTTCATCCACAATGAATTGGTTAGGTAACAGATAACCTGCTACTATAACAATTAACCCAACAATCTCTGTGGCTTAACCCAATAAAGATTTATTTTCTGCACACTCCAGTAGGTTATTCTAGGCCCAGGTTCTTTCCAACTAGTGCCTCTGCCATTCTCCTGGACAAAGGTCAGCAAACTTTTCTGTAAAGGTCCAGATGATAAATATTTTAGGCTTTCTGGGCCATATGGTCTCTGTTGCAACTACTCAGCTCTGCCACTGAGCGCAAAAACAGCTGTAGACAACAATATGGAAATAAATTAATGTGGTTGTGTTCCAATAAAACTTTATTTATGGGCACTGAAATTTGAATTTGATATAATTTTCATGTGTCACAAACTATTCATCTTTTGTTTTTTGCCAACTATTTACAATGTAAGAACATTCTTGGCTTGCAGGCAGTACAAAAACAGGCAGTGGGCCAGATTTGGCCTGTAGGCCATAGTTTTCCAACACCTGCTCTAGGGTCTCCTCCAAGGCCTCTGAGTTCTTCTCCGTGTTCTCTATATCCAGGTGGTAATGAGGGATCTTGTGGGAGATTTTAGGGGCTAACCGTAGATTCCCACCCCCCTCCCCCAATTTCATTGACTAGAATTAGTCACAGGCCCTACCAGGATACCAGGTGTCTGGAAAATACAGTCTTCTATGTGCCCAGGAGGAAAATGAAATGATATAGGGGAGGAGCAGAAACATCTTGGCACTGAATAGTTTTTCTACATTTTCCATTCTTCTTGCTTTTGATTAAATATTACTTCCTTTCCTTTTCCCTGCCCTAGCCTGGGTGGTTCAACTTCCCCAATTTCACCTATTTCAATATGATTTTTCTTCAAATATTTCTTCAAATATCTTTATCTTGAAGCATTTCTTGATTCATCCAACAAAATATAATCTCTTTCCTTTGAATCACCAAAGAAATGTGAACTTCTCGCATCATTTACTTTACCTTATACAAGGGATATTTGTGAACTTTTCTTCTTCCCACCACTAGATTATAAGCTTCCTGAGGGTTGGTACTACTCATATTTTTTATAACAGTTTTATTGAGATGTAACTCATATACCATAAAATTCACCATGTTAAAGAGTACAATTCAATGTAAAATGATGCAGCTGCTATGGAAAACGGTATGATGGTTCCTCAAAAAATTAAAAATAGAATTACTATATGATCCAGCAATTACACTTCTGTGTATATATCCAAAAGAATTGAAAGCGAGGACTTAAACAGATATTTGTATACCCGTGTTCATAGCAGCATTAGTCACAAAAGCCTAAATGTGGAAGCAATCCAAGCATCCATCGATTGATGAATGGATAAACAAAATGTGGTATATACACACACTGAGATATTATTCAGCCTTGAAAAGGTAGGAAATTCTAGTACATACTACAACATGGATGAAGCTTGAGGATATTATGCTGAGTGAAATAAGCTAGTTACAAAGAACAAATTCTATATGATTCCACTTATATGAGGTACCTAAAGCAGTCAAAATCATAGAGATAGAAAGTAAAATGGTGGTTGCCAGGGGCTGGAGGGAGGGAGGAATGGAGAGTTATTATTTAATGGGTAGAGTTTCAGCTTTGCCAGATGAAGAGTTCTGGAGAGGGATGGTGGTGCTGGTTGCACAACAATGTAAATGTACTTAATGCCACTAAACCTATGTACTTAAAAATAGTTACAATGGTAAACTTTATGTTATGTGTATTTTACCACAATTAAAAAAATTTTTTTAAATACATAGTAACAATGTCACCAAAAAAAGAGTATACTTCAATGTTTTTCAGATGTTCACAAAGTTATACAACCCTTGCCACAATCAATTTTAGAACATTTTCATTCCCTAAGAAGAAACCCTGTACCCATTAGCAGTCATTCATCATTACCCTTCCCCCCAGCCTCTGGCAACTACTAATCTATTTTCTGTCTCTATGGATTTGCCTAATCTGGACATTTCATATAACGGGAATCATACAACATGTTTTCTTTTGTGTCCAACTTCTTTAACTTAGCATGTTTTCAAGGTTTATCCATGTTATAGCATGCATCAGTACTTCATTCCTTTTCATGGCTGAATAATATTTCACTGTATGGATATACCACATTTTGTTTATCCGTTCATCAGTTGATGGACATTTGGATTGTTTCTACTTGGCTATTTTGAATAAAGCTTGCTCTGAACAAGTTTTTTATGGACATATGTCTTCAGTTCTCTTGGGGATATATATACACATACCTGCCTACCCACCTAGAAGTGGAATTGCTGGATCATATGGTAACTACATGTTTAACATTTTGAGGAACTTCCAAACTGTTTTCCACAGCACCTGCACCATTTTGCAATCTGCCAGCAGTGTATTGGGGTTCCAGTTTCTCCACATCCTTGCCAGAACTTGTTATTGGTTATCTTTTTAATTATAGCTATCCTAGTGAGAGTGAAGTGGTAGCTCATTGTGGTTTTGATTTGCATTTCCTTAATGACTATTGATGTTAAGCATCTCTTCATATGCTAATGGGCCATTTGTATATCTTCTTTGGAGAAATGTTTATTAGACTCTTTGCCTAATTTTAAATTGAGTTATCTTTTTATTGTTAAGTTGTAGGAGTTCTTTATATATACAAGTACCTTATTGGATATATGATTTGCAAATATCTTCTCTCATTATGTGGGTTCTTTTCACTTTCTTTATAGTGTTGTTTGAAGCACAAAAGTTTTAAATTTTGATGATATCGAATTTATCTATTTTTTTTTCTTTTGTTGCTTGTGCTTTTGGTGTCACATCTAAGAAACCATTGCCTAATCCAAGGTCATGAAAATCTACTCATAAGAATTTTATAGTTTTAGCTCTTACTTCAGTCTGTTATGCATTTTGAGTTAATTTTTGTATATGATGTGAGGTAGGGGTCTAACATCATTCTTCTGCATGTGGAGATCCAGTTGTCCCAGCACCACTTGTTGAAAAGACTATTCTTTCCCTATTGAATTATCTTGGCACCCTTGTTAAAAATTGACTTGCCGGGCCAGCCCCATGGCGTAGCGGTTAAGTGCATGCACTCTGCTGCTGGCAGCCCAGGTTCGGATCCTGGGCGTGCACTGATGCATTGCTTGTCAGGCCATGCTGTGGCGGCATCCCATATAAAGTAGAGGAAGATGGGCGTGGATGTTAGCTCAGGGCCAGTCTTCCTCAGCAAAAACAGGAGGATTGGCATGGATGTTAGCTCAGGGCTGATCTTCCTCACAAAAAAAAAAAAAAAAGAAAGAAAGAAAAATTGACTCACCATAGGTGTATGAGTTTATTTCAAAACTCTCAATTCTATTCCATTGATCCATACGTCCATTGTTATGCCAGTGCCACACTGTCTTGAATTATGTAGCTTTGTCATAAGTCACAATGTTTCTGGTTTTCAGTGTACAAGTCTTGCAATTCTTTGTTAAATTTATTCTGAAGTATTTTATTCTTTTTGATGCTATTGTAAGCAAATTGTTTTCTTAATTTCATATTCAGATTGTTCATTCATATATCTAGAAATATAATTGATTTCTGTATATTGGTCCTGTATCCTGCAACCTTGCTGAACTTTTTAATTCTAATAGCTTGTGTGTGTGTGTGTTTGTGAATCCTACTCATTGTTATATTCTCTGGAGCACTTAACTCAGTGCCTAGCTTTAACTAGTATTCAATTTATTTGTATTCCTTGAATTGATCTCTTTAAATGTCATGTCTTCCAATGACACAGAAGCCTTCCATTCACTGAGTAATTTTCCAGTTCCCAATACCATTGAATCATTCTTTTTCTCCTTTACTCTTTTCTGCAGGCTTGGGAACAATGGGTCGAGGCATTGTCATTTCTCTTGCAATGTCCAAGATCCCTGTGATTGCTGTAGAATCAGACAAAAAGCAGCTAGAAACTGCAAACAAGATAATAACCTCCTCCTTGGAAAGAGAAGCATCCAAAATGCAGCAGGGTGGTCAGCCTTGGTCAGGACCAAAACCCAGGTTAACTACAGCTATGAAGGAGCTTAGTGGTGTAGATTTAGTCATTGAAGCAGTATTTGAGGAAATGAACCTGAAGAAGCGGGTCTTTGCTGAACTGTCAGCCGTGTGCAAGCCAGAAGCTTTTTTGTGCAGCAATACTTCAGCCCTGGACATTGATGAAATTGCTTCTTCCACTGATCGTCCTCACTTGGTCATTGGCACCCACTTCTTCGCACCAGCTCATGTCATGAAGTTGTTAGAGGTTATTCCCAGCCGATACTCTTCCCCTACTACCATTGCGACTGTTATGAACTTATCAAGAAAGATTAAAAAATTTGGAGTAGTTGTAGGCAACTGTTTTGGATTTGTTGGGAATCGAATGTTGAATCCTTATTATAATCAGACACACTTCTTGTTAGAAGAAGGCAGTAAGCCAGAGGAGATAGATCAGGTGCTGGAAGAGTTTGGTTTCAAAATGGGACCTTTTAGAGTGTCTGATCTTTCTGGGTTGGATGTGGGTTGGAAATCTCGAAAGGTGCAAGGTCTTACTGGACCTACGTTGCCTCCAGGAACTCCTGCCCGAAAACGAGGCAACCAGAGATATTGCCCAATTCCTGATATGCTCTGTGATTTAGGACGATTTGGCCAGAAGACAGGTAAAGGTTGGTATGAATATGACAAGCCATTGGGTAGGATTCACAAACCTGATCCCTGGCTTTCCGAATTTCTGTCACAGTACAGAGAAACCTATCACATTGTACCACGAATCATTAGCCAGGATGAGATCCTTGAGCGCTGTGTATATTCACTCATTAATGAAGCATTCCGCATTTTGGGAGATGGGATAGCTTCTAGCCCAGAGCACATTGATGTTGTCTATTTACATGGGTATGGATGGCCAAGGCACAGGGGTGGGCCCATGTTCTATGCTTCCACAGTTGGGTTGCCCACAGTGCTAGAAAAGTTGCAGAAATATTACAGGCAGAATCCTGATATTCCCCAACTGGAGCCTTGTGACTATCTGAAAAAATTGGCTTCCCAGGGAAACCCTCCTCTGAAAGAATGGCAAAGCTTGGCAGGACCCCCCAGCAGTAAATTGTGATTCAGCCTTCCAGGTTATGCCCTATGTGCTGGCATCAGGTAATACTCACTGAATTTCATTGAAATTAAATCCAAATATCCAAAGTAAGATTACTCTGAAATGCAAAGCTAAGGAAAATAATCGGTCAGCTGAACCCTCCTCTTTGGGTCCTCCGTCTGATGATTCTAATGGGTCAAATCTTTTTTTTTTTTTTTTTTTTTAAAG